CAAAAGTAACTGTTGGCATACTGGTATAGATAACACAAATTTGGCATTAACCTGACTCAGAATGCCCACCAGCTACTAGCTGCTCTCAGGGAAACCCAGCCAATTATCTACAACAGGGGAAAAATAAATCTTAAAAAAACAAAAAAAACCCCACAATAATTCAAATAACTTTTGTTCATGCTTGCAATCAAGCAAGGTGAACCTAATTATCAGGAGTTGGAATTGTGAGTAGTAGGTAAAACTACTGCCTTCAAGGTCAGCATTCCATGGGAGTGCTGGTTCCTGTTCCAGAAACCCCACTTCCTATTACATTCCCTGCTGATGGCCTGGGAACAGCAGTGGAAGATGGCCCAAGTTTTGGGGTTCACTGTCACCCACATGGAAGACCTGGGCTGGGTCAGATCATTGTAGCCATGTGGGGAGCTTACCAGAAGATGAAAGTTCTCTGCCTGTCTCCCTGTCTCTCTGTAACTCTTTCAAATAAATAAATTAATTTAAAAATGTAGTGCATTCATCAGACCTAATGAGATCTTTCTGCCCAGGGCTACTTAAACAGGCCAAAGACCTGAACACATATATTTGACAAAGAGAGAGAAAGGATGAGGGAGGAGGAGGCGGAGGGAGGAAGGCCCCTCCCTTCTACCTGAGTGGTCCTTGCATGCCTGCAAAGGCCAGGGCTGTGCCGGGGCCAGGCTGGCACAATCTGAGTTTGCCAATCCTGATCTCGCATCCTACTACTTTCCAGAAGCTGCACTGGTAGAAAGCTAGCGTCGGGAAAAGGAGCAGGAGGCTGTGATTGAAGCCAGGCACTCCAGTGTGGGGTGTGAGCACTTAACCATTACGCTGAAAGCTTGCTCTCTGGATAATTTTGAACAACTTTTACACTTGGTTTCTAGCTCATTTAACCCACATAGTCCTGCTGCTTTGAGACCTAGCCTCATCTTAGGTCCTCCCCTGGCTGCCAACCGGTGAGCATCTGCTGAGCCTGCCAAGAGCAGTACACACACTTCCTAGAAACTTCCAACTCCTCTCAAAGTTAATGAGGAACATTAGGATGAGAAACCCAACCATTTGCTCATGGCTCATTGCTAACTAAGAAACTGTGTGAGCTTGTAGGCCAAACGGCCTAGGTGAACTTTAGCACCAGTGGTGTCCAATTCTCATGAATCAAGGCCCACCCAAGTCTGATTACCCCACAGGTGGCTCCAAGTAATGCAGTGGGTGGTTACGCTGGACCAGAGAAGAGCCAGGCATAGGATATCCAGCTGAGGTAGGTAGGGAATGTGTGGCCTTTCCCCCTCACCTTGCAGGCTACCGTGAATTGCCCCTTTTCAAGCTATTGTGGACTGCCCCTATAAAAACCCTGTGATTGTACTGTTTGGGGCTGCACTCTCTGTAAGGGGTTTTGGTCCCAGTCAGCCAGCCAGCCCATGAGTCGGCTGTCTGCTCTCAACCAAGAACCCAAGCTCAGACATGCCGAGCTTGAATAAACCATCCTTGTGCACTTTCATTGACTTCAGACCCCTGGTGATTTCTAGGGATCTCAAAATCTGGGCACAACAAATGGGGGCTCATCAGGGATCCCCAAGATCATCAGGACTCCTCTCAGGCAGTGTGTGTGTGGTGAGTCTCACCTCAATTCTTTGCCAGTTAATTACTTTGTCTTGTTTTTCTTCTCCTTTTCTTTTTGGCCTGTCAGCAACGCCCATGTTGCCACGTACCCCAAGCTGAGCAGAGGGACTAGGGTTACAAAAAAGACAACACACAGTGGATCATTCTTATAAAGAGAATGCCACTTATTTGAGGTTAGCCTGCCTCTTTTATAATCTGCCTAGTTCCTCCCAGTATTATCCCAATCAAGCAACTCCCAAGCTCCCCTGAGGGCATCTTAAAAAAGGGGAAGCAGGGAAGAGGGAATTTGTGGTCAAGCTAGGGGCTAAATGTATCAGGCCAAGATTGCCCATCCTGTTACACCTTGAGAAACAAGCTAAGCTGTGGAGTTAACCCTTGGGAGAGCGGGGCCTACATCAGGCCAATTTTTGGTTTATTTTGCTCCCAGTGAGGGGTCTGGCATTTTCGCCTAAGGAATGGGGACGTCCCCTCCAGTTTTTGTTGTTTGTTTTTTTAACTTGGCCTAAGCTGTTTGTCCTTGTCTTGTCCTTAAATTGTTGCGTGTTCTGTGCTGGCTAAAGGTTAAACATTAAATTGGATAGCCAAATTAGGTGCCAAATTTTGAACTTTGAGGGACTGTGAGAGACCCTGTGATGATTCACTACCCAAGTGATTGCAACAGTTAGAGCTGCACTGATATGAAGCCAGAGCCAGGAGTTTCCTCCAGGTCTCCCACATGGGTGCAGGGTCCCAAGGCCTTGGGCCATCCTCTACTGCCTTCTGAAATCATAAGCAGGGAGCTGGATGGGAAGCAGGGCCACCGGGGTTAGAACTGGTGTCTATATGGAAACCTGGCATGTGCAAGAGGAGTTTAGCTGCTAGGCTACTGCACCGGGCCTAAATATTATTAATGTTTGTATGGAGGTGAGGGGATTGCAGACCCAAATGGATTACTGAGTAGGATGGGTGGGGGGTGGTGAGTAAGGGAAAAGCCTCTGCCCTCTTTCCTGTAACCGTGGTGGTGGTCATGGTGACATGAAGTGCCCCCCTTGACTGCCAGACTACGCCAGCTGCAGGGGACGAAGATGGGTCCCCAATATATTAGCCCAGGGATCTCCTTGGCTGTTCATATCTATCTTGGTGTGTCCACTGACATAGGTACTTGGTACAGCACTTGGTCTGAAGTACTGTTCCACTTTTAAATGAAGCGCTTGAGGTCTTCCATTGAATTAGAGCGGCCAGCGGTCCTGTCTTTCATGTGCTTCTGGGTGTGTTCATCCTCATGGAAACTGGCAGCAGAGGAGGGCCAGCCTTACAGCATGCGCTCTGAGGGCACGTGACATCCCCTGGGCTTGGGGGTTTGGTGGAGCAGTCCAGTCAGGAAGACCCCCCTCTAAGAATCCCTAACTGGGCTGGTCCTCAGACCTGACTCCTTAGCTTGTTGGCAGGTACAGCGACTTGCCCCTCACCCCTACCATCTTGGCCATGCACATGCTGGTGGGTGCAACTGCCTGGCCCTGCCTGCCCCTAGTCCTGGTTCCTGTGCTTATGGTGTAACAGCAGCATAGCTAGGGAGACCCCTGAGTACCGCTACCAGTCTGGTCTCCAGACCCTGAGCTTGTGCGCGGCAACAGGAGCATTGGTGAGATCATCTTAACTTTAATACCATTTTACTTACCTTGATATGCCTGAAATAGTATCATTTCAACACGTCATCAATATGATTACTAATTAGATGTCTTATATCCATTTTTCTGTGCTAAGTCTTTCAAATTCAGTGTTCGTTGTGTACATATACCATATCTCAATTTGTGCTAAGCACATTTCAAGAACTCAGTAGTCAGACGATCCAGTTCTAGTGCAATCATGATATAATACGTTTGGGGAGGGGAGAGTCAGGAGTGGGGAACTTTCTGGATTCATAGACTTTCTGTGTCCCCATCACACCTCTTTATCACCTGACAAGCTATTACTATCGGGCCCAGCGCAGTGGCACAGTGGTTAAGGTCCTCGCCTTGCACGCCCCGGGATCCCATATGGGTGCTGGTTCTATCCCAGCAGCCCCACTTCCCATCCAGCTCCCTGCCTGTGGCCCGGGAAAGCAGTCGAGGATGACCCAAAGCTTTGGGACCCTGCACCCGCGTGGGAGACCAGGAAAAGGCTCCTGGCTTCGGATCGGCATAGTATCGGCCCGTTGTGCTCACTTGGGGAGTGAATCATCGGACGGAAGATCTTCCTGTCTGTCTCTCCTCTCTGTATATCTGCCTTTCCAATAAAGAAAATAAAAAAATAAATCTTTCAAAAAAAAAAAGCTATTACTATCCTCAGAGGGTTTGATTTTGGCTTGTGTCATTTGGGAAGAAGGAAGTGGGACAATTCAGACACTGGGTATCTCAGGAGGTCATGTCTAGATATTTGAATAACTCCTACAGCAAGACCACGTAGAGGCTAGAGGCTGTCATTGGTAACCGAGTAGGGGTCATCTATGCGAGCAGGCTAAGGGGCTGTCTGTGCAGTTCTGTTTATGCAGGCTCATGTCGCGGCTGTGCTGAGACAGGACTGCAGAGGCCCTGTCTAACATCTACATTCCACAAGAAGAAGTGATGGCACGCAGCCACCTGCTGGCTTGGGCGACCGTTCCAGGCCGGCCTCTGGAGGCCCAGGGCTCCTTTCCATTTCTCATAGCAATGGCTTTCAGTAGATGAGCTTTTCTTGTCTGTGAGTGGGAATACATGAGCACCTACCTCTCCATCTCTTTGTTAAATTTTACTTTGTTTTTACTGGAAGGCCAGATCTGCAGAGAGAAGAAGAGACAGAAAGATCTTCTGTCCGATGATTCATTCCCCAAGTGGCTGCAACGGCCAGAGGTGAGCTTATCCGAAGCCAGGAGTTTGCTCTGGGTCTCCCACGCAGGTGCAGAATCCCTGGGCTGTCCTTGACTGCTTTCCCAGGCCACAAACTGGGAGTGGCCAGGATTAGAACCGGTGCCCATATGGCATCCTGGCGTGTGCAAGGTGAGAACTTTAACTACTAGGCTACCGCAGCAAGCCCTAGCTCTCCATCTTTTAAGACTATCGGTACTAAATAAGATAATACACATAAAGAAACGAGGGCAGGGGCTGGTGCTTAGTCACCACTCAAGGAAGGTCATCTACTTTCCAACATGCAACAGATCTTTCACATTTCTAAAAGCAGGGTGTATCTTGTAAACAATGGCTTCTTAGGATTATTTTCTGAAAGCTCAGTAACTGCTCAATGCTGAGTGAAGCCGCCCTCCCAGGCCCACCCCCTTGCTGCGCGCGGCTTCTCCGCGCAATACGGGCGCGGGGCGCGGCGGTACTCGGGAGCTTACGGCGGCGCGGCGCCCACGCGGCCCGGGTAGTCCCGGACAACCGGCGCGTCCCCGCCCGCCCGCCGTCAGCTGCTGGGCCGCCCGCCGGACAGGCCGCGCGAACATGGCGGCCGAGATCCACTCCAGGCCGCAGAGCAGCCGCCCGGTGCTGCTGAGCAAGATCGAGGGCCACCAGGACGCCGTCACGGCCGCGCTGCTCATCCCCAAAGAGGACGGCGTCATTACCGCCAGCGAGGACAGGTAGGGCCGGGCTGGCGCGCGCGGGGTCGGCCGGGGCTCCTGCGCGGGGTGCGGGCCTGGCAGCGGGGTGCGGGCCCCGCCGGAGCCCTCCTCTCGGCCGCGGTGGTCTCTCCGGCCCCCCGACCTCGGCTCCGGCCCGGCACCCCGGGGCCACAGCGCTCCTCCAGCCAGGGACTCCGCACCTGGGACTCCGTGCCCACCACGCCCCTCCGGAGCTCGGTCCTCACCCCACGCCTCGGCTCCCGCCCCTCGTCCGCCGTCTGTCTGTCCCTTCCGCAGGACCCTCTCCGGGCGCGGCCAGCCTCCCTGGGCTCAGTCCCCCCGGCGCTGCTCTCCGGGGACTCCGGAGTTTCGGCTCTGCCCTGCCCCCCATCGGTGCCCCAGAGGACGGGCCCTGGCTGCTGCAGGTCCCGGTGTCTCGAATTTCCTCATTGCCAGGATCCTTCAGGGCTTGCCTCTCTCTTCCTTGTAGTTTGCTCTGTGGCTTACTCCCAACTTTGCCCAAGGCCAGGCCACCAGGTGAGTTATTTTTGCCCCAGCTGCTAGGACCAAGTGAATTCTTACTTACTATTTTTTTTTTTTTAAACTACAACTCATTTAAAAATAGGTGCGTTTACTTTAAAATTCTTTTTTACTTACATCTCCACTATTGGGGAAAATTACATCACTTTACCCTAATGGAGGAACTAGTAACTGCACACAGGGCCATTCTTGAAATAAAAAAGTCTCTGCTTTTGAAATTTTATTTGTGCTTTATTGGGGAGACAGAGAGCGAGCAGGCGAGCTAGCTCCCACGTGCTGGGTTACTCCTCTGATGCCTACATTGGCCGGAATGGACCAGGGGGATGACTGAGCCAGGAACCCATCCTGCTCTCCTGCGCAGGCGACAGGGGCGTTCCCTGGGCCATTGCCTGTGGCCTCCCAGTAAGCTGGACTGCAAAGTAGAGCTGGCAGTCCGGGCCGGGCGCTCGGTGAGGTCCTGTGGGCACCTGCCCGAGGGCTGGCTGGCATTGCACTATTGAGCATCTTGCCCTGGACGGCCAGCACAGCCGGAGAAGCCCCAAGTTTTCTCGTTTTACGAGAGAGGGGACAGAAGCCTGCGGGGCAGCAGTGTTGAAGCAGAGGTTGGAGAAACTGAAGAGGCTCCCTTGGTGCCCCCTGGCTGTGGGATTGGATGGGGTGGCTTTCTAGTGGGCATCTATAAAGGCAGTAGTAACTGGGGTTGCTTGGTGAAGCTGTGCAGTGGTCTTGGCCTAGGGGTATGTACAGGCTGCACAGAAGCAAGCAAGGAAGGTTGCTGTCTTGAACCTGGACGTGGGGTCCAGCCTGTTGCAGTGCAGCCTTTTGAGGGTCTGTCCTGGAGGGGAAGCCGGAATCTGAAAGGGCCCAGCTCCCGTTTGACTTTTGCCCTTTGCTTTTGAATGAGTACAGGCCTTTTTCTGTCCATGACTGAGCTAGGGTGCCCAGCCGCCACAGCAGGTCTGTCCCCCGGGCAGTGAGCTGCAGTACCCTGTGAATGGGGCATGCACAGGGGCGGGGTGGGAGAGGGAGGAGTGTAGAGGATGGTGAAGGGTACGAGACAGAATTAGGAGATTTGCACAATAGGAACTTAGATGCAGGCAAACCTCTCAAAGTGAGCAGTCTGTTCAGTACGATATTTTATTCATGACTCATGCATGTTGAGTAAACTGCTGAATATTCGAGATTACTGGCCAGGAGCCGTGCTGATAAATGTTTTATGAAAAGTTATTACTAAGCTGTCCTGGGACCGAAATGTTCTGGCCAGCTCACTTCACTTGGACACAGCTGTTACTGCGGGACCCTGGGGAGCTGGAGCTGGTGCCTCAGCTTACCCAACTAGTGTTACAGACCCGTGGAGCACCCGTGAAGGTAGGGTCCTGTCTGGGTGGTGCCGCACTGTGAGATTTAATGGAAACACACAGTGGAGGCGTTTTTGTTGCTGGTGGTCATGTTGGTTTTCAGATTGAATATGACAGAAATATGTGCCATATTCTTCATTCATTTCTGCTGTATTTATTGAGAGCCAAGCCCTGGGGAAGCCACAGGGATCAGAAAACCACACTGTCTGCCCCCGTTTCACTTGGGATTCATCAATCTTGATGGCTCTTGACTTGATGAAACCAACTTGTAGGTCTAAGAACGCCCTCCCTCCCCATTCATGCAGGGCCACACTGGCCTTGAGGGAGGGAGAGATGGTTGACTCCATAGTCGCTCTCTCCCAGGGGCTGGATGGTCCCATGATGAAATGACGCCGTGTGCCTAGTGTGAAGGATGCTGGGAGACACAGAAGAGGAGACTGCTAGGCTGGGGCCAGGGCTCAAGGGCGTCCTGCCAGGAAAGCCATTGGTACCGGTCGTCAGGGATGGAGCCATGTTCTGTTGCAAAGCAGGAGCATGTGTGTCCCTGTCCCAGGCAGGAGAGGCGGGAGGGAGCTGTGGATGTAGACCTAGAGCTGCTTGCAGGGATACCTTGGTCCCCGCTGTTTGCCGGAGAGGACCAGGTGGAGTGTCACCCCTTGCTTTGGCCTCACCCAGCCCTTGCTCTTGTGGCAATTTGGGGGAAGTGACCCAGTGGGTAGATCTTTCTCTCTCCATCTGTCTCTGTGTATGTCCCTATCACATACATGGAGTATTTTATTTTTTTTAAAGATTTATTTTTATTATTTTTTATTGGAAAGGCGGATATACAGAGAGGAGAGACAGAGAGGAAGATCTTCCGTCCGATGATTCACTCCCTAAGTGAGCGCAACGGGTCGATGCTATGCCGATCCGAAGCCAGGAGCCTCTTCCAGGTCTCCCACGCGGGTGCAGGGTCCCAAAGCTTTGGGCCGTCCTCCACTGCTTTCCCGAGCCACAGGCAGGGAGCTGGATGAGAAGCGGGGCTGCCAGGATTAGAACCGGTGCCCATATGGGATCCCGGGCGTGCAAGGCGAGGACTTAACCACTTGCGCCACCGCGCCGGGCCCACATGGAGTATTTTAAAAAAGAAATCGCAAGGCATTTAACTGCAGCTGTTCTCTTATGTTTTGTTGGAACTGTTATGGAACATAGGATGCAAGTATATGCGTCGCACTGTAATGGCCATTTGACAGAAGACTGAAACACAGAAGCAGTAGCTGCACGAGATCCTGGGGTCGTCAGCGGTGGGACCGAGGACTGGCTGTGTCCGACTCAGGCCCCGCCCCTTTCTGCTGTGTACCTGCTTTTCCTGAACATCCAGGGGAGCTGGCGTCGGGCAGTGTTGACCAATGATAGACTCCTCTGGAAGCAAGGGATGAGATGTCAGGATTCTTCCTGTTTATTACTGCGTTTCACCTACTTCTTCCTTACCAGGATTTCTTTTTTTAAAGATTTATTTTTATTTGAAAGGCAGAGCTACAGAGAGAGAGAGAGGTCTTCCATCCCTTAGTCCACTCCCCAAATGGGTGCAATGGCCAGAGCTGAACCAGGAGCTTCTTCTGGGCCTCCTCTATGGGTGCAGGGGCCCAAGGGCCTGAGCCATCCTCCACTGCTTTACCCAGGCCATAGCAGAGAGCGGGTTTGGAAGTGTCACAGATGGGACTGGAAGGTGTGCTCGCCTGGATGCCAGCACTGCAGGTGGAGGATTTTAGCCTGATGAGCCACTGTGTTGGCCCCAGGAATTCTTGAGCCTGTCAGAGCTGTCTTTCTGATCTGGATCCTGTAAAAACAAAACCTCAAGCCCCTTCAGTAGCGAGTTTACCCAGTGCAGCTGCAGCAGAAACTGCTGATGAGAACAGAAACCGAGACCCTGCGTTCAGAACAGAAGTGAGACGTGGTGAGACAGCAGCCACCTGCGCCCTGGATAGATTGGCCTTTTGGACTCTGCTTGGGAACAGCACTGAGAATTTAGGCAATTGGTGGAGTGATGGACTTTTGGAGTAAGAACTTGATCATAAATCCTTGTAGGTAAGTTCAAAGTGTAGGCCTACTGTTCTCAGCCCCCACAAGTAGACGTGGGAGGTGAGCATGTCCACTTTGCCCTCAGGTTTCCGTGAGGCTGTGATTAAGATGGGCTTCTATAGAAAAGAGTCTGTGGCCCAACAGGCAAAGACAGCTTCTCAGTGTTAACTATTTTAGGACATTGTAATTAAGCCAGTAATCAATGGAATACAGAAAAAGAACTTTCAGGACCCGGTGTGGAAGCCTAATGGCTAAAGTCCTTGCCTTGAACGTGCTGGGATCCCAGGATCCCATATGGTCACTGGGTCTAATCCCGGCAGCCCTGCTCCCATCCAGCTCTCTGCTTGTGGCCTGGAAAAGTAGTCAAGGATGGCCCAAAGCCATGGGACCTTGCATCCGTGTGGGACCTGGAAGAGGATCTGGGCTCCTGGCTTTGGATTGGCGCAGCTCTGGCCGTTGTGGTCACTTGGGAAGTTGAATCAGCAGATGGAAGATCTTGCTGCTCCCTGTCTTTCCTCCTCTGTATATCTGCCTTTCCAATAAAAATAAATGAATCTTAAAAAAAAAAAAACAACTTTCAAATATTTTAAAATCATATTTGTTTTATTTAAAAAGGTATAATAAATAATATATTTCTTTTTAGGTATTTCTAAATGCGTTGAGATGACTTGGGGGAAATAGGTGTCTTTTCTGATTGTTAATGTAGAAACATCCCAGAATAAACATGTTGAATGTTGAAGTGTTGTGCCCAAGACGGAATCTGGTAGAGCTGGCAGTTGATGGTTATGTAGAAGGCCAGGGTGTTAGCTGGCATATTTTAATTGTCAAACAGTGTTAAAAAGTGGATTCTTCAATTTGTCCTGTAAAATCAGTGGACATGAGAAGGCAAGGAACTGGGTGCAATTGCATTTATTCCACTATTGTTAGTGAGTAATCCTTTATTGTCACACTTTTTTTTTGTTGTTGTTGTTGTTATTGTACAGTTAGTAACATGGGTTTACAGTTAAGAGGTAGCGCTGGCAGGCTTGAGTCTGAATCCCAGGCGTGTGACTTAGGCCT